GGGGGGACAGAAACAAAAAGAAGAGGGGTTGAATTTTTGGTTATCTGTGGGGTTCGGGAAGGGAAGTTGTTGTTTTATTGGGCTTTTTAAAAATGTGTCTTGTTGAAGCGATCGAGAGTGGATTTTTGCATGATATTGTGTATCTAGGTAACGTTGATAAAGTAATCTTTGTGTGTATTTCTATGTGTTTTCTGGGTGTATGTTTCTATGTATTTGTATATGTACGCCATCTGAATCCAAATGTTCTCCCAGGGATGAATAAAATTGAAATGTATTTATTTATATATTTACCTTTGTTTATTTTGTTGGGGGGGGGGGGGTTAGTTATAAAGTTGAAGTTTCAGCTTCTCTTACAGTTTGGGCGACGTGTGGATCATTTATCCGAGCGCGGCATTCCCAGGTCTTTCAAACTATGTTCAGTCCCATCTCTGAAAGCATCAGCCTAGGACCACAGTCTGTTGTGTATTAAAGTGAGTTCGATGACAAAAAAATGACTGGACTTCAAGAACAGTCAGATGGGGATTCGAAAAAAAGCATTCCGCTCTGTAGGCCATCATGGTACAAACTAAGCCTGAGAGCCACCGATGTTTGTATTCTAGGACCGCAAAGAACAGCTGCCACGAGTTGTTTTTTTCTTTGCTGAATATCATAACCCTGAAACAAGACTGCAGGAACAACTGACTAACCAACTGACCAGCATATGAGGTGGCTGCAAGGGATCATAGCTCAAGTATCCTGCGACAAACTCAGCCACGTCCGGCCAATCCAGCAAGTCCTTGTAAGGGAGCTGAGTAGGGCTGATAGTGGTGCACACCAGTTTCTGGACAAGATGGAAAAAACAAAAATGTTTTATGCCCCCCTTCAACATACCTAGGATCACTCTTTCCCTCTTGGACAGGATACAGTGCTCAGAAGACATTTGACTCTTAAATGGTCGCTTTTAAGGACAAGCTGACTAACCCAGATTTCGGGAGTTTCCAGAAATCTTGACCTACACCAAAAGTGGCCATTACCCTACCTATAGGAGAACTTTGGTTTCATTGGTGTGTATATTTGTTTGGTTATAGAGAAAACTCTCCTTGTCTATGAAAGAAACTGAACAAGGGGCAAAAACTTTACCTTCGATTTTCTCAAAACAACATTTTTCGGGATAGTCCCCTTGTGCGTAAAAACGACCAAATTGACCCATGGGTTTCAGATGTGTGTCTTCAAGGGGGTGGGGGGAAAGTGTGTGGGAGGGAGGGGGGATGCGGGGAGGGAATTATTTTACGGTTTTTGACTGCGGTGTTAATTACAACTGTACACAAGGGATTCCAAACTGACAAATTGTGCTCATGATTTTTGATAAAAGGATGTGTTTTGTTTGCTCAACACAGAGGAACTTTCTGAAATGTGTCGGTTTTAGAAAGGAGGATTATGCTGGTTTGTTGCTGGTTTGTTGGAGGGTTTTTTGTTTGTTTGGTTTGTTTTTGTTTGTTTGGGTTTTTTTTTGGTTTTTTTTTTGTTGTTTGGGTTTTTTTGTTTGTTTGTTTTTTTTTGTTTGTTTGGGTCTTTTTGTTTGTTTGGTTTTTTTTGTTTGTTTGGGTCTTTTTGTTTGATTTTTGAAACAGCCTTTATGACGTGTACAGAGGGGTTGCAGCTTCAGTTAATGGAGGGAAATATTTCATGTTTTGATACGATTTTTTGTAAGAATAAGCAGCATGAGATTATGGCTTCTCACGTGGGTTTTGTACGTACACAGTTCAGTCAAAGGAGCTTAAGAGTATTTTTTTAAAATGCTATAATGAAGTAGCTTTTCAGTTGAGTCTAATTTGATTTGTTTCTATGACTTTTGTCGTCAGTAATTTATTAATAGAGGCACCAGCCATCCATGTCCAGGTGCTGTTTTAGCCGTTTGTTTCTACGTAATGAAAGAATAATGCGGCAGCTTTTTACTCTGAAAAATGATGTAGTCTTTAGTGTCTTGGTCTATAAATAGCGGAATGCAGTAACTGATTTCTCATTGGCTTGATGACGTTAATCTGGCAGGAACTGTTGGCCATTCTGGCGTGTGAACTGATGATTTGACGGAAGCTTATTGAAAACAGTTCATAACAAAGAGTGACCTTAAGAAGAAGTCACACTTTCACTGTTTAAAAAAATGGTGGTACGACAAGAGAGCACTGAGGTTGCGATATATGTCAATGAATATTTGACAATTGTTTGTGATAGTAGATGTTGGGACATGATTGTTTGTGTGAGATGTTTTGGCGGAGTGTAAGTAAGAGACAGATCTTCCACGTTTAAGAAATCCACGTATTCCAGAGACACAAGAAATGATTTCCTGCCACATGTCTCTCCGACCAAAATGTACCGCGTGTTGAAACAGGACTGTTTATTGCCATACCTTATGCCGTGACCAGCGACTCGCAGAGTGACCACCGGTCAGCTTCGTGGACATCATGATGACCCTCAACGCTTCCTTGACCACTGTCTCTACTTGAACTTTTTGGGGGTTTTGGGGTTTTTTTCTTTCTTTGCTCAAAACGCAGATGTCTCTTCCCCCGACATAATTCTCTCACTGGGTCTACTTCCAAGTCAGGATTTTATGACTTGGACTTTCCCATTTACTTGTGTTTATCTTTTAATTTTTTGTAGAAATGTATTTATTTCTATTCACTTTGTTTTATGAGGAAATGTATTTACTTCTATTCATTTAGTTTTATGATGCCTTTTTTAGAAAGCAGAGAATGAGTGGAGAGAGTTTCTTATCACACTCGCACAAATAGCAGAACTGATACAGACCTACGGCACATGTAAAGATATACGAAATAGAGTAACTGATATATATGATATATATAATGATATATGAAGTGGAATAACTGATATAAACATGTGTACATGTAATGAAATAGAATAACTGATATGCTTGTAACGGTATTATATTCTTTTATTTATCTTAACAAAGTCGTAGAATCTTGAAGATATCGCACATGGGAGAGCTCTGTCCAACAAGAAAGTACCGTACAAGATGTCCCCGTATCTTTGTTTGTGCCATATATTAATATCCCGTACTTACGCTGACTTACGGCGACGTACGCTGTTTTACTGTATTTCTACCTGATGTGATGTGTATGTTCTGTGTCTTTGTGGGGCTGTTAGAGACGACAAAACAGCGTAATAGCACAAGTGACAAATGATTGAGACGAGGTCCTCGTTTATTGTCACTTTATTAACTCAAGATTTCTGGAAACCCCCGAAATATGGGTAAGCCTACTTGTCCTTAAAAGCGACCAGTTATTTCCATTTTTGGGAGATAGGCTGTTAGCTTATTGTATAAAATAGTTCCAGTCGTTTTTTATTTCCACTATAGGAGGTTAGCTCTTAGCTTATCGTTGTCTCACTCTCAGTCGAAATTCCAACTTTACCAGGTTGGCTGTGGGTGGTTGGTGGGTGCTCCGGTGTAGTTTGCTCCTTCTTTCCTATCTATCAAACATCTATCATCCTCATCTCCCCTCCTTTTTTTTGTTTGTTACTCTTTTGTAACTCATCTAATCTTCGGCACTTATATATGACCTTATTGTGTTGCAAGTGCCGTAAAACTCTTACTACAACTACAACTAAACTGAGGTTGGCTGTGAGCTTGGCTGTATCACTATATCTACTGTAGGAGACAGGGTGTTTGCTTATTTTATGTTCTCAGTCGTTGATTAATATAATCTCTCTCTATATATAGACACGTAGTTTTACAATATTGTCTTTTTTCCCCACTCTTAAAATGATTTTTTTCAAATGACATAATGAGACAGATAGTCTCGTTATAACCATGAGAATTATCTTATAGGGGGGAGGTTCCCTTTTTGTTGAATTTGCTGCTTCGTGTTCAAGCATTATTTATTGAGGTAGGCCTACCTCTATTTATGCAGATTTTATTTCTGTCAGTTAATTGGCCTTTGCTAAATCCATAGATTGCCGCAACAACAACTGCCTTGTTGGCAAATCCTTTCTTTTGTCTTGTCATTTAATCATTATCCTATTCCTTTTGTTGCATTCGCTCTGTGCTCATTATATATATACAGGCCTGGCCTCCACAAGTGCTGCATTTATCAATATATTGTTTCTCTAATGATGGGCGCGTTATTTGTGTCACGCCGTGGTGGAATCAGGCGCTCCTCAATTTTTGGGTGTATGGAGTTATCGGTACTGGTATCATCTTTAAAGCTTGTTCGTTTGTCTTGCTTGTGATTAAAAAAATTACCATTTATCTTGAATAGAAGTGGAGATATTCGCAATTGAAGGAGGAGGGCGTCGCCTGATTTCAGAGGTAAATTTAGCAGAAAAAATGGCCACCAAATTCTGGTGTCTTACATAGCTTGAGAGACCTTGGAGACAAATAATTTACTTTTTTCCCCCCTTTTTTCAAGTTTTTCACTGAAATCTTTACAGAAGTGTGTTTTTCACTAGATATGAAAGGTGTTAAACTAAAAAGCAATATTTTTAAAAAAATTGCAAAACCCGCTAAAAGAATGCTGATATACCGTATCTGATTTCAATATTTTGAGGAGCGCCTGATTTCACCACGCAGCCTCACATAATTTGTCCCATGATGGACGAGTTGTTTCTCCAATGATCAGTGTGTTACTTTTCCAATGATGGACGTGTTATTTCTTCTTATCATTGAACATTGAAGTGTTATTTTCTTATTTCAGTAACCCGGAAGAAATCCTGCTAGTTTTATTTTATGACTGATCCAAAATTATTGTACACTGTACTCGGAATTTCTGTGATCTTGTGTGGGAAAAACATCTTCAAGCTCCACTATATATACACATATATACGAGATATCTTGCCTAATTGTATTTTTTTGTAGTCCATTTTCTTGTCTTTCTACATATATTTTATTTTTTGACATACTGAACATTTTTACTTTATTTTCAATTCACAATAAGTTGCTTGCTGGATGGATGACCTTAAAGATTTGGTTAGATCTTGACTGGAAAGCAATGAAGTTGATTTTCTGGACTCATTTCTCTGATTGTGTACGTACGGGCGCATCCTGTCGTCGCAGCTGGCTCGAGTACTTTGGATTGTTACTATTTTAAACTTACGGTCAACATTTTCAATTAAGCTAAATGCAACAACTTTGTGTTTATTCTGCTAAAACTAGGCCGGACACGCACACACAGACGTGCGCGGGGCTAAAACTAGGCCGGACATGCGCACACAGACGTGCGTGGGGCAGAGATTATCAAGCAGCCATTGAGTGTGTGCCGTGGATGTATAAAATCATCATCAGGTCATGATTGATGAACTAATATCTGACATCTATATTACAGACCGTATAGTGGGGTCCATTTAAACCGAAGACAGGTTTATTTCATTAAAGAAATGGCGGTACACCGAAAAGTTTTATTTCATCTGAAAACCGCGGTACACCAAAGAGTTTTGTTTTAGCCAAAAATTGTGCTACAGCGAAAACAGTTTTATTTCATCCGAAAACACTGGAAAACCGAAGACAGTTTTTTCATTTAAGAAACAGTGGTAAATACAAAACAGTTTTATTAATCCAAAAACAGCAGTAAAGAGAGAGAAGCTAAAATCCCTGATGTTTTTTTCTTCTTCTATTCGAGCAACCTCTCAAAACCGAAAAAGCAGCTAAACCGAAATAATATATCCAGCAGTCCCGCTGACTTCGGTTAAAGTGGACGCCACGGTACAGAGGTGCCAGCGACAGATTTAGAAATTAAGATTGAGGTTTTGACGTCATGGTGTTGCTGACACATCTGTTTGTCGTTCTGGGCTTTGTTCTCCTTCTGTCAATCCTCGGCTCATTCTGTTAGCCTGTGAACCAGGTCGCGTGACAGGGAGAGAGAGACCGTTAAGAGTTCTGGATCTTTGGGGGACAGTACAACTTTCTCATCCGTACAACAATGTCTCTTGTACAAGCAATATGATCTATATAATATAAATATAATATACCTGATGTATGCCAAAGGATAATAAAATTCATAGTCCGGAATTCAACTTCTTTTCTTTTTCTTTATTCTTTGTGGTGCTCACAACTTGTGGACAGTACGTGATAAACGAGACGTCATAAACGACTTCTTTATCATGGATATGTACACACATGTACGTATTTCAATTGCCAACATGGATATGTACACACATGTACTGGTACGTATTGTAATTGCCAACAACAACAAGCCAACAGTTCACCTCTGCCATGCCCGACCACAGTCATGTTCTACCGGTATACATACACATGTATACATTTGTATATTATAGTATACATTTGTACATGTATAATATACACACATGTATATATTTTGTACATATGTATAATATACACATGTATACATGACACTATACACATGTCCACACACTCAGACAATCACAAAAGACACAGGCATTCTGCAGAAAATGTTGCATGTACACAGAAGTGAGAGCTCTGACCATTTAGCCAAAGCAACATGCCAGTGGGTACATTTTTCCACGTGTAGAATTTTTAAAAAACAAAAAAACAGGCAAAAATAAGAAGGTGCCACAAAGCTGTACTGTAAATGTAAGTTTTCGAGGACAGATTTGGGGAAAAACAAGTAGGCAAGGTCATATATCACAATTGCTTAAGTCTTTTAGTCTCATGTTTCTAGTTAGCGATATCATAGTAAATAAATACGCCTTTCACTTTTTAAAAAAAATCCTCAATATTGCAGAGTTTTGTTTCCGGTTCTAAAAATCCCATCCGTTCTCACATTTTTCCCTTTTGCACAAGTCAAAAAGCTGACCTAGGTAAACACTATTTCTTTCAATAACTATGGACGTGTTTTTCCACCCCCAATAACACAATGTGGATCGTACAGTTCTCAATAACACAATGTGGATCATACAGAAGGTGGGCTTCAATCCCACCTATTATTATAAGGGCCAACCAGGGCTGAGAGGGAAACAACGTCCCAGCAGAAAGACTGAGAAACTTGATGAAAAAAGTACTAAAGGTTCTTCCCAACAGGAATCAAACTTGGGTCTCTTGCATGCAATGGCGAAGCGCCTGACCATTACACCACAGACACTGTTGTTACTATTTGTTTCAAGTTTTCTCCCCCCCCCCCCCCCCCAAAAATTTTTTTTTTTTTTTTTAAAAACCTGACTCAGGCAGTAGTGTGACCACCTTGACATTACAAACTTCTCCTACACTCACGAAGGAGATGTAAGATTGTGATCGGGAATGTGACCTCCATGACGTTAGAAACTTCTCAACTACTCAGGAAGGAAGTGTAAGATTGTGATCGGGACCGTGGCAGTCTCACAAACGTCCGCCGACTCCCTGAGCGAATATACAAAAACGACAGCGACAACGACAAACATAATGACGGGTTTACAGACACGGACGGGAATATTTACAAAACAACCTTCAATGTGTCCGCCCATCAGAGGAAGACGAAAAAAAAACGTTTGAGAACATCATGGGATAAATGGAAGAACAGGACGGACGGACTTAACAGACACGTGTCATGTGTTTCTGGTACATATGTACACACAACTTTTGCCTATAGCCAAACATGTATTTTTCGTACAGTACATGAACATATTATAGCTAGTCATATATTTGTGAAACACACACAACTTTTGCCTTTAGCCAGTCATATATTTCTGGTACATATACACACAACTTCTGCCTATTGCCAGTCATTTATTTCTGGTACATACACACACAACTTTTGCCTATAGCCAGTCATATATTTCTGGTACATACACACACAACTTCTGCCTATAGCCAGTCATTTATTTCTGGTAGCCAGTCATTTATTTCTGGTAGCCAGTCATTTATTTCTGGTACATACACACACAACTTTTGCCTATAGCCAGTCATATATTTCTGGTACATGTACTCACAACTTCTGCCTATAGCCAGTCATGTATTTCTGGTACATATAAACCAGCTGATAACTGGCACGATCAGCAGACAGACCCTTTCACGGATCCTGGAGAGGAGGGAGGAGCAGCTATGGCATTGTGCCGCCTGATTGATGCCTATTCTCAAACAAAGTAAGTGGTGCATATACAAACAACTTCTGCCTACAGCTAAACATGTATTTCTCGTACAGTACATGCACACATAGCTAGTCATATATTTCTTGTACGGTACACATACACATAACTTCTGCCTACAGCCAGTCATTTATTTCTTGTACGGTATATGTACACACAACTTCTGCCTATAGCCAGTCATTTATTTCTTGTACGGTATATATGTACACACAACTTATAATGCCTATAGCCAAACATGAAGGCCTATTTCTTGTACGGTACACATACACATCCAGTCAAGTATTTCTGATACATGTACACATAGCAGTCTGTACATACTTCAGCCTACATAGCAGTCTGTACATACTTCTGCCTATAGCCATTCTAAAACATTTTGTAAATAGATCACAGTGGAAGATGTTGGCCCTGAGTGATACACAAACGTTGAGCCAGTTCTACAGGAAAAACCTCCGTGATAATCACCGAGCTGGTAGAGAAAGAAGCACATCGTCACAATAGCGGCCATTAGTGCTGGAAAAAAGCTAATAGATAGACAGATACGGCAGAAGGAAAGAAAAGAAGTAGGACCTACAATTGGCGCCCTCCAACCATCCACATGAAAAGATGAAAAGCTCCGTGCATCTATCTTCAGACTATCTTCCACAAAACCCTTACACATCACCTCAAACATCACACTCTATCTGCCACAAAACTCTTACACATCACATCACACTCTATCTGACATCACATCACATCACACTCTATCTGACATCACATCACACTTTATCTGTCACAAAACCCTTCAATATCACCTCAAACATTCAAACATCATACTCTATCTACCACAAACCCTTACACATCACCTACAACATCAGCCCACTTGACAACATCCGATCACTTTCTCACCACCTGAATCTTCTACTCCTGCTGCAGGAATGAAGAGGAGTGTTTTCCAGCTCCTTCAGGAAATATATACTAGTAGTCAAACAAACACAGGACACTTTGACAATGTCCGAAATCAAAGAAAACAAGAAGAATTAGGCACCTCAAAGGCACTCCGAACGGAATCTATCTCAGTATCTGACACTACAAAGGCACCCCATTTATGTATCTATAGGTATCTACCTGTGTGTTCATCTGTGTATCTATCTAGGTATCTACCTGCATGTCTATCTGTGTGTTTATCTGTGTTTTTATCGGTGTGTCTGTGTAAGTATTTACATCTATTTGCGTACCTATCTGTATGTCTATCAGTGTGTCTATTTGTGAGTTTAACTGTGTGTCTATCTCCATGTCTATCTATGTGTCATCTGTGTATCTATCTAGGTATCCATCCGTGTGTCTATCTGTGTGTTTATCTGTGTGTCTATCTATGCATCTATCTAGGTATCTATCTGTGTGTTTATCAGTGTGTCTATCATTATCTAGGTATCTATCACAAGCTAGGGTGAAGCTTCATCAAGAGCTGACTTTTGCTTCAGTCTTCGTTTGGGCCTTTTCCTTGGCAGTTGTTCTTCTCTCAGGGAAAGAAATTGGACCAACTCTGTGCAGCGGCCAAATCTGAAATTGTTTTTTAAAAATATTTTTTTTAAACCCTCATCAAATTATGCCATGTCAGATAATACTTGATTTAAAAATGTCATGCAAGTGCCAAATATTAACTGATTCCGTCCATGAGTTATTTTTCCCTGCTCAGTTTTAGACCTGGGGTGCATCTATTTAATGCATTACTGTGAAGCTCTAAGTCACTCTAATAGGTATTGTCATATACCAAACTGATGGGAATAAATAGAAAAATCTGTTTACATCAATAACAATGACCTATAAACTGTTTGTATTACATTTTCCTTCTGACAAAAACGAATGAGAAAAAAAAAATTGCACAACAGCTCTTCGAAAATTTCGACTTACCGCATTTTTTCAGCTCTACAAGTCCTTATAATCCATAGGAATCAACACAAAATTGTAGCGATATCACCCTAGCACACATTTATGCAAGAATTTCACAAATTTAGTTGAATATCTTTCTTTGAAGAGCCTTTTTCTTATACCAGGCTCCGTGTTGTTTACCCTTAGATCTAGCCTACATCGCAACAACAAAACAACCATTTTTGCAAGAATTTCGCGGAGTTTCGATCGATGTTGGCGCTCAGAGATTGAGGTCAGGTTTGTTTACAAGTTCTACTTCCTTTCGACAACTTAAAAAGTAGGAACTATGTTAAAAAGTGCACCTTTCTTTCGGATTTCGTTGAGCCCCTCGCAGCGGCCGAATGGAGGCAGCGGAAAAACTCAGAGCCGCTGTCAGCGGCCGAATGGACGGAATCAGTTAACGGTGTTACGTAGGGAGTAGTAAAATGCAAAGAAAATGATGAGAGAAAAGAATGATAGATGTTTGATAGAAGAGAAGGAACAAACCATAGCACTAGCAGAGCACCTGCAAACCACCCACACAAACTAGAAACTGAACTTGTTTCTTCGTTTGAGTGAAGAGAAGCACACCGACACAATAAAGGTCATTTAGCGCAGGGGAGAAACGAGGCAAACACACAGAAACAACCACCCTCCAACCACCCACCAACAATCCTGAAGTATGACCACCTAGCAGTCAGTGACACCCTATAACCACCCGCCAAAAACTCACCCTGAAGCAAACCTTGCTGAGCAGCAAGCCGTAGGGCAGCTGACCGTAGGAGCGCGAGTCGATGCTGGCCTCCTGGTTGTCTCCCTCCAGCCACACCTGACCTCTTCCCACCTGTGGGTCGTCGAACACAACACAATAAAGTAACTGGCCGACAACAATGGCACAGATTTTATGCACAAGAATTGTATCTTATGTTGCACAATTGCTACAACAACTAGCCTACAACTACAACAATGGCACAGATTTCATGCACAAGAATTGTATCTTATGTTGCACAATTGCTAAAACAACTAGCCTACAACAATGGCACTGATTTTATGTAACGGTACAAAATTTGTATCCTATCTTGTAGGATGTACCAGCAAAGTTTCAAATCATTTGGATAGGAAACAAAAAAGCAAAAAACTATTTTATTTTAATAACAACAACTAATGCATTTTTAAAAAAAATTTTATTTTTGGGGGGGGGGGGAATAAATCATCAGATGAAGTAGCTACTAAACGTAAGCTATCAGCACTAAAACACATCCTAAAACAAGTATTTGAGAATTTGACCTATTTCACCCGCAGATATCATTTAACAACACAACAAATAACCCAAACTGACCTCCGTGGGTGACTACAGACACATTATTCATATGATCAATTTTATATATATATAATAAATGACAATGTATATATTTATTATATATTCATATGTCTTTTCTGAAAAACCCGCAAAGTTCCTCCAACACTCACATATTCCTCGAATCCTTTCTCATTGTTGAACACCGTGTCTCCTTCCATTCCCATCAGCCTCTTGCAAATGACAGAACTGGAGTTTTTTGGAGCCCGGCAAAAGACAACATCTCCTCTGTGAGAACCAAAAGTAAGAAATAATAATAATGATAATAATAATAATAATGATAATAATAATAATAATAATAGATAGCATTTGTATAGTGCAAATTCTTGTTCAACAGCAGGCTCTATATGGGCTTTACAATCTATCATTATCCCAGCAGACCTGATAGGGTTTTTATTCATTACCTGTGTATTCCGTCAAATTAAAAAATAATGAACTCCTCTAGCGACTTAAAAATACGATATTACAGTAAACGAGAAATGAACCTTCAACGTGTCTTTATTTGGTCGAGATCGCTTCAAGGGCTGAACGTTGATGTATTTTCAAAGTTTCCTTGAATTTGTCAAAGTTTCAACTCCATTGCACCCTCCATTTTGTCATATATTTACATTTAAAATTCACACAAGCACTATTTCTGAGTCAATTTCGATGGGTATATCCCACTCAAAATATCCCCTCTTTTGCGAGCTGTTGGTCGGCCGGCCCTCTGCGGAACTCCTTCCTAAGTATAATGGCTGTTGCTGTACTTACTTCTGCAGCTTTTTGTAGTCCACGTGGATGGGAGAGATGAGGACCACGTCTCCGTGCTGGATGGCTGGCTCCATGGACACATCCTCGCACTGGGAACACAAAGCTCACTGATGCAATCTTCATCTTTTCTATATTTATATGTATGTATAAAAACATGATGTTCTATTGTACAAAATAAGGGTGCTTAGCATCTGAAAAACAATTCATATCTGTAAAGACGGCTTACTTCAGTACGAACTATGAAAAGATGGCTTACTTTTATACGAACTGTGAAAAGATGGATAACTATTACTTGTGTAGGAACTATGAAAAGACGGCTTACTTCTGTACGAACTATGGACATGTACTAGGAGCTCAAACATGAACTCTTTTAGTTTTGTTTTAGTAAAGAGTTTTTATGGAGCTCGCAACTGCGAAAGCACTCTTTATCCTTTTTCTAAGTATACAAACATGATTTTCAACGTAGAGCACAGAGGGGACCACAGCAATCTTCATCCTTTTCTATGTATACAAACATGATTTCGATGTTGTTATGTTCAAACTGCGCAATAGGAAGAAATAGGTCAACTCTTGTTTTGTTCTATAGTAAAAAACATATTGTTGCAAATCAAGGGCATAAAAGACTAAATGTGCTTACCCTGCCGATCCCACCAATAAAGCGCAGCGTGCAGTAACACGCGCTCAGACCAGACACAGTATACAGAAACCCCTTCCTGGCTGCCTTAAACATGGCGGGATTTGGTCGAGTCTGCTACTAGCTACAAGTCAGCAAAGCTTCTCAGAGACATCAGCGCACGGTTGACCTTCATGCCCATCATAAGGAGAAATCCTCACACTGAAATAATCAACACAAGGTTAAGATAAACACTATAGGCCCCTACATAGTTTAGATCACAGGCGTCAAACTCAAGGCCTGTGGGCCATCAATGATGCTCATAATATTTTAAAAAGACAAAGATATGTTCGCAATGTTGAAAGCAGATTTGCACTCAACAATAAGTAAAAGACTTACATAGTGGATAGATTCTAGTAAGGGCCAAGAGGTTTGTGGTAGGATAAGACGGGAAATTTGGTTCTTATACAAGCACAAATCTAGTTTTATTATTTAAATGGTAAATCCTTGTTTTTATACAGGCTAAGCGACCAATGGAGTTCTCTTAGTAATAAACAGACGGCTCAGACGGTGTGATGTACTCACCACATTTTCATTTTGACTTCTTGTTCAATAGACCTAGAGTCGACATCTAGACCTACATCTATTTTTATAAAAACCACATTATATCATGTTGAAAGCAAAGCTCATTTAATTGCAGTTCGAGTTTCTGCTGGACATTGTCATTTTCATCTGGATTTTACCAGCTATGAAATTGTGCTGATGTCAAGATAATGCCTAACTGACGGTTATTATACACTAAGTTTATAATCTGTACTAGCCGATTAATTGGTATAGATCTAGATCTAGATCTAGTATTATTACTAGATCTAGATCTAATCGCTAACGACGAAGAGTAAAAAAAAAAAAATTGGTGTGGCTGTGGCTGTGGATGTGGCTGTGGCTGTGGCTGCAGCATGCGGACACTCTGTGTGGTCCATGTCCGTGGTCTCCCATTGAAAAAGATTTTGCCCACTCTTGATCTAAAGAAAAGGCAGGTATTCTTTAATTTACCGAACTCAGAGGTCCTCAGATTAAGTTCTATTGATTCTAGATCTAGTCAACACAACATGAAAGGGTTTTCTTGCAAAATTAAAAAACAAAGAATGATGACCTTCCATTTGCATGCTTTCCCATCTGAACTGAAGGAAGATGATAGCGGTTGACCGACCGGCGACCGGTTGTTATTATTATCTTTTATAATAAGATTTTTCGGTTACTTTTACCTTTTGCTGCATTTTTAAAAATTATAGATTGTAAACACAGAAAGCAAGAAATTAATTATTATTGACTTTTTAAAAGCTGGAATTCCCACCACGACTTTACACTAAATGAAAAACAAATTATAGGCGTACAAGTAGGCTAAGTCTCAACTTGAGATACGATGACGATAAACTTGATACACCCCCCCCCCC